GAGTGTTCCTTATTTAAAATATACATAATCTATGTACAAAATTTTATGAGTATCGGTTCATAATTGACGCTCACGGTTTAAGAATTGAAATAAAATATTTGTTTTTTTTAATTAATATTTTGGTAGTTCAAAAGAGCTCTGGCCATAATTGACTTAAGCTATATTCCAAATATCACGCTGATGTTTATAGGGGAGCATTCCTTTTACAGCATACGGTTTGATAGTGGGTATATGAGATTCGGCACAGCCGAATATAGCACTCTTACTTGTTTAATTAATATTTTGGTAGTTCAAAAGAGCTCTGGCCATAATTGACTTAAGCTATATTCCAAATATCACGCTGATGTTTATAGGGGAGCATTCCTTTTACAGCATACGGTTTGATGGTGGGTATATGAGATTCGGCACAGCCGAATATAGCACTCTTACTTGTTCTAATTGTGTATGATTGATTTATTGGCCTCTTAAAACTTTTGGTAGCTTTCCATAAGGAGTAGTCTGTCTTATTATTATATGACAAATGTGATAGATAATGATTCATGATTCATCATTTTTGAATTTTTGTATCGCTCTCTTTAGAGTTTGTGTAGCGTTATTTAATAAAGTTTTATCGCAGGGAGCTCGAGTACTTTGCCATTTTCGGCGTAATTTTCTTTTAGAAGTTATCAAAGATCTGATACTTTGGGGATAGGATACATTACTATAAATCTTAGGTTGAAGTTCAGGCGTGCTTTTCCATGCGGATTGTTGTAGGGTTGTTACAAAATTTTTAGCTTCATTTTCCAAATCTTCTGTTGTGTGGATTTGAGGATGAGTTTTTAAATTATGTTTAATATTTAATTTATATAAGTTCCAATCTGTGTATTTATTATACAAAACTGTATACGGTACTTTTGGTTGGATATCGCAAGAGAATGTTAAGTAGATTGGTGAATGATCAGAGTTTAGATCAAAGCCTTCATCTATTTTAAGATTTAATTTTGATAAATTAGTGATTTTGTGAAATTAGTGACAATTGTCAAAATTTTATGTAATCAAAAAAGATTTAGTTTGGCACAGCAAAAGTGATAATATTTTCCACCATAAGAAAATTTTATTTTAAAAATTATAATAATATTAAAAGTATTTTTATTTTCGATTCTATTTACATTTTACAGCTATGGTAAATACCTCATATGGGTTTTGTTATATAAAGCGTTCCGGAACAAACTTTTTTTAGTTAATCTCTTTATTTACATGGTGTATATATAAAACAATATTTTTTAAATTGTTAACATTTAATAGATTTCAAAATTAAGCCATGCCGCTGTCCGGCTAAATTCTTCATATGTGTTTCTTTATATAAAGTGTTCCGGAAGAGATTTTTTGTTAATTTGTGTGGAGAATCTCCACACAGACGAGTTTTGTGTGAATTCAACACACTGGTGAAGATCCGACTCTCTCACAACGCTTCAAAACTTTTTCGCGAAAATATGAAGATAATTTCACTTCTTGCTCATTTTCTTACACTCACAACACATTTTTTCAATTTTTTTTGCGCATTTTTACACCGTTTAATAGCCCGAAATAGTTTTATTTTTTTTTTTTAATTTTTTGACTCAGAGTGTGTGCCAATCGGTAACAATTTACTTGAATATGTAAATTTTTGATAAATATGAGGTGAATAAAATTTTACTAGCTCATAGGGTTATATAAATTTTTGACAAATGAAAAGAAAAATTTGAAAATACAAAAAATAAAATATTTTATAATTTTAGTTTATAATACATTTGTGATTGTAGAAATTTATTTTAATAATAAAAAAATCAATAAAAGTGTTTCTTTTATTAAAATAAATGCAGATTTTCTTGTGAAATTAGTGACAATTGTAAAAATTTAATGTAATCAAAAAAGATATCGTTTGGCACAGCAAAATGTAAAAATGTTCCCACCATAGGAAAATTACAATCCACCATAGAACTTTGCTATGATTTGGCACACGCTCTCAATTAAATTTTTGAGGAATTTAAATAAAACTAGAAAAAACGAAGTTGTAAATTTGAGTATTGAAAATGGGAAATAAATTTAAAATATACATACATAATATTTTGCAAATATGGGAATAAACAAATTGAAAAATGTATTTATTAAATGTTTACAGATTAAATGTGCAATAAAAAGATTAAAAAATCTGTGAAAGTATAAATATAAATGTTTTATATTTTTCTTAAAATTTTACGTTTTTATGCAACTATGTAGGTTTGGATTCAGTGGTGAAAGTGGTTGGAGCTACAATACTTATACAAAAATTCTACCAATATATTCTTTGAATTAGGTACCGAATGACAACTCCTTTAAATACCAACTGACAAGTCCCAATTTCTTTATATTCTTTGTCTAAAAGTATTAAATTTATAATTTTTTGTCAGTTGTAATTAGTGTTGCCAATTTAGCACTTTTAGTGCTAGATTTAGCACTTTTTAAACTCATTTAGTACCCAAAAATGTAATATAGCATCTAGCACCTTTTTTTTTTGGAATTTTTCAAATATTTTTTGGTACTTTTTTTTAGCACATTTTAAAAATTTTTGGACATCTTTTGTTTAAGTCAATTTTACTTGATTTTCTGAAAAAATATGTTTAAAAATTAATTATGTACATCTTAAAAATTAGTTTTTACTGGCTATCTGTAGAAACATCGTTTCGTATTTAATGGGCTTTTTTAGCAAATTTTAAGAATTTTTGGACATATTTTGTTTATGTCAATTTTACTTCATTTTCTGAAAAAATATGTTTAAAAATTAATTATGTACATCTTAAAAATTAGTTTTACTGGCTATCTGTAGAAACATCATTTCGTATTTAATGGGCTTTTTTTTAGCACATTTTAAGAATTTTTGGACATATTTTGTTTATGTCAATTTTACTTGATTTTCTGAAAAAATATGTTTAAAAATTAATTATGTACATCTTAAAAATTAGTTTTTACCGGTTATCTGTAGAAACATCGTTTCGTATTTAATGGGCTTATGTTATTACATTTTAAAAGCGCCACTAACTATGGAAAACGGCGCAAAGTTAAAATATTATATAATTACAATATACGAAAAAAACTTATACTTAATTTTTTGAAACTAACGTGTGGTGAATAAAATTTGTACAAGTATAAAATTAACAAAAACACTTCCAAAAAAAAAAATAAAATTTTACATTTCATTTTCGACAGTTCAGGTCGTTAAGTGCCATTTTCGAAACTAATTGTTAACTGACCAAGGCAATTTTCAGTTTTATTAAATACGTAGATAGTGCATTTAAGTTTACCGTAAGTCATTTTTTTATAAGTGCCCTTGTTCTTTTATTAACAACAAGTGTCTATATTTTATTCACCATACGTTAATTAAAAATTGTAAAAAAAAATTTTCAGGGTAATAAAAATTACCCAAAAATCTATTTAGGTTAGGTTGATAGGAGGATGTATACTACATCAAATCCGAAGAAATACACCTAGGCCACTATCGGGCCTGTTGTGCGCTCCAATTAATGAAAAAAAAAAAAAAAATTTCACTGAATGTATTATTTTTCCATGTTCAGAAACTCAGTTTCCTGGACGTAATTCCTAAGAATCTTCCAATCGGTGTTGGTTAAAATCTATTTACCAACAATAATAGATACTAAAGGGAAATTCGCGCCACAGGACCAGAATATATAAAAAAATAAAAAACACTGTACACTGAAAAGATTTTCTTCATGATTTCCGTGAATTTTGACATTGGTCTAATGAAAAATTACATTAAAACTCAACCTATGCAACATTTCGTTGGCTCAATGAAATATTTTCATTAAAATAAAACTGATGAAATGTTTCATGAAATTCATGAATATTTTTCATTAACATAACGTTATGTATTTCATAAAAAATATGATTATTTTCCATCAATGCAATGAAATGTAACATTGATTTAATGATGAATATTCAGAATAATAATGAAATTATTTAATTAGTTTAATGATAAAATTCTAAATTTCAATGAATTAATTTCATTTAATATACGATAGAAATTCATTAGATTAATGAATATTTATATTCCAGCAATGATAAAAATTCTTAATATTTATGAAATAATTTCGTTATTATAATGATATAATATCATAGTTTTTATGATATTTTTTTATTATTTATATGACTCTTGTTTATCCTCATACTAAAATAAAAATAATAGATTATTTATTTTTTAAAAATACATAAATACATTTTTATTGATAATAAACTTGAATAATAAAATAATTCCAGTGCAATCTTGTACAATAATACACATATTGATGAAATAAGTTTAAATTAATTAAATTTTGAAAATTAATGTATAGAAAAAAATTCAATATATACATTAAAGTAAGGTCATTTTTTGTATAAAATTTATAGTATTTTTGTACATTTCAGTACGTTTTTATATAATAACATTTATAATAAATAAATTAATGTAAATGCATTTTGAAAATTAATGTATACAAATTTTTCAATATTATATAATAAAATAAAGAAGTTATTTTATAGTATTTACACTCATTTTCTACATTATGTACTATATAATACTTATAATAATGAAATTAATTTAAATTATTTAAATGCATTTTGAAAATCAATGTATAGAAAACATTTCAATTTGATACAATAAAATAAAGTTGATTTGATTTGATAAATTAAATTCAATTACTAATTATCATTTTTTTTCAAGTCTTCTAAAAGAATGCTAACTTTTGAATTTTTTTTACATCTTGAGTTTAAAGCATAAAAATAATTTTCGATAAAGGACCAAACCGATTCACAAGCTTTGGGATATTCTAAATTAAACAAATGAAAAATTTTGAAGCACAAATCTAAAGATCTTAAAAAATTAGAAATTGGCAATAAACTACCATCTAAGTAAATAAAAAAATTATTGATTTTTTCGAAATTTCCGATTACTAATATAAACGGTTGTATACTTTCACCCCTTTTTTGGATGAAATCAATATGGTCTTGCACTGCTTGCATGGTACTTCCCATGAAAAGAAATGTCTCCTGCGAGTCTTTGGTAGTGAAGCGTGACATCTCTTTTTTACCGAACACATTTTTCCGCATGTATTTTCCAGTTGGGCTAAGCCAATAGTGTAATACCCATAACACTTTAAGGGCAAACATATCAGGATCTAAAAAAATAAAATTTATTTCAATATTTAAGATAGATACATTTTTTTAATAAATTACCTTTTTTAGCATCATCAATATTAATGTTTTCCAAATTCTTATTTTTATCAATGTTTTTCCCATTATTCAGCTTAGAAAGGCCAATATACAATTTCATATTTTTTTCACTTCCCCAGCTTAGAATGGAATCATGAGATCCATAAATAAAAGCAAAGTCTTTATCAATCTAAAGAAACAATAAAATGTAAGTTATTTAAATATATTTAAATTAAATGTACATGTATTGATAGTGGTTACTTACCAATTTGAATCCGTTTGGGTTTTTGTATTGGGGCCAAATTTTAAAAATCTCACAAAGGTTACCGCACTTGAAAATTTGTTGGAGTCTATAGTTGCTGCATGCACTCCATGCTGACTCGTGTTCATCTGCAGAGAGGTTGTCGTGAAAAAGACTTTGAGCAATAATTTGTCCTCCTTCTTCTGGAACTATACAATTAAATATACATATTTATGAATAATTAGTTTCAAAATATATAGAAGTAAAATAAAATTACTTACTAAATTCGAAATTCGATATAGATTTTGAAGTTGTGGGAAGCTCAACTTCCTGATCAAAGATTTGTTTTGTTGTTTTGTTGAGCGTAATATATCCAACAGTGGTTCATAAACATAATCAATAATATTTTTGTTAATAAAATGCACGTCTTTTCTACAAAAATTATTCTTTGAATGCATATTTGTCTGAAATTTCATAAAGTTTATGAAAAGTTCATCGAATTTTACACTTTTTTCAAAATTTGATTTAGATGACGATGAATGAATACCATTATTTTGTTCATTAGATTTATGAAATTCATTATTTTCTTCAGGAATTTGGCAATCGAAACTCATTTCCATATTATTAATTGTGTTCCATATTATTAATACTGTTGTATAAATTATGCTTCTTTTTGACGTGTCTTTGAAATGTGGATGAATCCTTATAACTGTGTCCACAACAGCGGTAGGAATCATTCATTTTTAGGAAATGGGTGGTTCTGAGATGCCTAAAATACTTTTTGTTGTCACAAAACATTTTATTACACTTAAAACACTCCATTTCCATATAATTATTTAAAACACGTCTCAATACAATATTTTTTAAAACACTTTATTTTAAAATAACAATTAGGCACTTTGTATCTTTAATATGTTCCACTTAAATATTTTCACTTTAAATTTTTTAGTACAGTTGAGCTTGTTTTTTTATTAAATTATAAGATCTTCCTTCACTTCAATCACTTTTGCAAATGAAAAAGAATTTGCTTTTTCTTTGCTAAACTTGTTTGTTCTATAATATTCTTTAACAAACCGTTAGAAAACAAAAACAAAAGCATAGATTTTACATGCATTCCAGGGATGGCAAAATTGGTACGATGGTACTTTTTTTGATACTATTTGATGTTCAAAAGATACTCCCAGGGCCACAATCACAATATCCGATTATCGTTTAACAGATAGATAAAGAATTTTTGTATGAAAACCTTTAATATATCGTTTCGATAAAAAATAACAGGTTAAAGTATATTTAAAATTTAAAATTCCAAGAGTGTTTTACACTCTAAAAAATGCATGTAAAATTACTATTACAAAGTATGTAAGTTTTTTGCGAAAATTACAGAAGATGCGTAAGTTTAAGCATAAAATGTTTATAAGAATTAATTACAACATTATGCCTGCAAAACTACAAATAAAATGTAGTATTTTGGTTATTCATAAACATGTTTCCAATAAAATAAACATTTCAACTTTATAATTACACATGTTGTGTTTAAATTTTATATTTTAGCCCCAATGTGTGTAATTTTAATTTAGACGAGTAATATTGAAATGTCAAACAATTTTTAAAAAATAAAAATATTTCAACAAATAAAACATATTCAATAAGATTATGTTAAGAAGCAATAGAAAAAATAATACAAATAGCAAAAATATTCAAAAAATTGTATTAATTTGGTCCACTTAAATCGACAATGAACTAGTCCAAGACATCGCTCAAACAAATGCTGCATTATGCTGTTGTCAAGTTTGAATAAAGAAGGATATTTGAATAAAAATCCAATTAATGTGCGTGCTCCGTGGCTACATTTGGTTCCCATTGGTTTCTTCCAATAGAACATTAAATTATGAATATGTAATCCATCCACAAATATGCGAATATTCAAGATTCCTCAATATTTACTATATAAAGATAAAATTTACATAAAAATCCATTTAAATACGAAAGTGCATCAAGTAAATGAGATCTAAAGATAATTCTTTTGTAATTTTAAAATTAAATAAAGCATTCTTTCAAAATAATTTTAATGTGTTTTAATCTTTTGAATAGAAAGTGGTACATTAAAGGTTTACATTTCTATGTACAATTAAACAATTCAATATTAAACTTACATGTAAAAATGTTTTATTTAAACACAAAAAATTTAAATTTACACGATTTTGGAATGTTGCTAAAATTTTTATAAATACAAAAGGGTAAAAACACACATTTTGTATCAAAGGAATTTACATACAATGTGTTTAAAAATTTTGAATATTTTTGAACATGTATTTTTACACTAATCATACCTACAATAAATAGTGTAAATTTAAACAAAAATTTATAATAGTGTAGCACATTGTTATATAAATTCTCAAAAATGCATCAACTAAAAGCCGTTTTTTCTAAAAAAAATAATAATAAAATTATAAACGGCTAATAAAGTTGTACATATTTTTATATTGATTGACATTCTATGAGTATTAATCTTATTAAAATTTCGCTGTTAATATTTTATGAGAAAATTACCAGAAATTTTAATTTTGAAATAATATTTGACTTTAAAACAAATGATTTCCAAATGATAGGAACTCGAAGGATTCAATCTACTATAAAACGATATTTTTTGAACCTAAGCATTTAACCAAAGATAATATAAGAAGTTTTAGGTCAAAAATATTTGGACTTTTAAGCAAATTATTGTTTCATGTCATATTCAGAATCGGATGTACGAGTAAATATCCTATTTAAGGTCCCACGACGGATTTTAATTCAATAACACATATTTAAGCGATTTATTGACAATGAACAGTCGATACTAATACTTGTAGCTCAATTATTAGCATTAAGTTGAAATTCTAAATTCGTCCTTTTATAGGGCGAAATGTGGTCTAATTTTAATTAAAGCCGGATTTATTAAAATATAATAAATTATATCATGACAGCTTTAAATTTAAGATATTTACATAGTACAATATCTGGCTAATATTTGAGATGTAAAAAGGTGAACATTGAGGGACGGACAAGGATTCATCATATTAACATATAATGCCTTTCTACTTCTGTTATGGATTGTTTAAAAAAAATTAAATGCAGTTAAGAAATTGCCATCATTTAGCAAAAAAAAAATATTTTAGTACTTTGAGATCCAAAAAAGTACCCTCTGAAATATTTTTTGATACTGACACAAAATCTCATTTTCCATCCCTGATGCATTCTCTTCTTAAAGAGTGTAACTGCAGCAGTTGAATTAATAACAAAAACAAAAACATTGCCTTTTTTACACGCATTTATTTCTAAAGAGCGTAAGAGATGATCTCTACAATAACAACAACGTTATTAACTTTTTTAAGCTTGTATGTATACTATACATTGTATAGTAACAAGATTTTTCTTGTCGGATGCTTTTTGTTTAACTGTTGAAAAATAGGGGTGGATTTTGTCATTTATCTAATGAAAGTGGTAATGAAATAATTCAATAATATTATGAAATATTTAAAATGAATTCTAAATATTTTTTCATGTGTTATAATAAATTGTTTCACTGGAATTATGAAAACAAAATTTTTTAATGAAAAAAATCATTAAAATAATGAAATTTTTAAATTAAATTTTAACATAAACATATTTTTCCTTTGTTTTCATTAAAAATATGTTTCATAGGAACTGTGAAAAAAATATATTTTTATTAAAATAATTCATTAAAATTTTTTTAACTTAAACTTTTTATTTTTAGGCATAAAATCTAAATTTTGTTAATTTTTTAAAATAATTAATAAACAATTTTCAAAATATAACTGTTTAAGTCTTTGGAAACTATGTTTTTTTTCTTCATAGTTACATTAAAATATTTCATTGTATTTGTGAAAAAAAAATATTTTTAATTTTTATCCATAATGTTTTAATGTTCACCAATTATACACAATCGATTAGAGTCATTATATTGATATCTATTAAAATTTTATATTATAATTAAACCAGGATTCTTTTTAAATGATTTCACTGATTCAATGAAATTTTTTAATGTAACCTTCGATTCTAATGAAGCAGTTTTAATGAATTTTTTGCATTGCATCAGTGAAATTTCACTCACGGTATGAAATATTCCATTGATATAATGAAATTCATTTTAATGAAATCGATTCATTGTAATTGTGAAGGATAATTTTTTCAGTGTATGTATATACGTTTTTAGGAATTTTCAGAAAATTTTAGGGATTGTAATATTCTTTACCAAGTTTTAATTTGTGGAACTAGTTCTTTAATCAATGATTTTAGTTCGAATTTGCTATCTTTAGAAATAGTTCTAGAGAACCTCTATAGAATATATACACCTGCTTTGGAACTAGATCTTTTTCCAGCGACTTATAATTCAGGGATAGAAACTTGGTAAAGAGCAACACAATTTCTCACCCAACTTCTCGAACTCTCGATTCGCCAATTGGTGATGTCTGATATTTGGAAAGTTGCGCGAATTATTACCATTCTATAACCTGATAAACCCGCTACAAACGGATAGATAGTGGGTGTTTTTGGTATCAAAACAATAAGAAATCTCATATATTCATTGGTTTTGGTGACCACTTTCAGAATTCCACTAAAGAGTCTTCATGGACTTCCGACCAACTCTTCTTGATTTATCTTTGGTTTTAGGATTTATCTTAAGATTTCAACTGATTAAAGGACAATTTTGAACCTTAAAGCCATTTTCTGAAGGATATGTTGTATGGGGCTAGGGTGAGAGATATGTCTGTGCAAAATTTCGTCAAACACAAGTTTTGTTAGAAAAATTAAAAATATAAATATGCAATTTAAAGAAAAATATGCAATTTATGCATTTATAACAAAATATACAAAAATATGTAACAACATATTTTGTAGCAAATTCTTTGATTCGAACTATTTTACTCTTAAAAATGGAACTGAACATATTAAGGTGTGCCGTAAAAGGGATGCTCCCCTATAAACATCAGGGTGATATTTGGAATATGGCTTAAGTCAATAATGGACCGAGTTTTAAACTAACAAAAAAAAAAAAAAAAAATTTTTTTGTTCAATTTTTAAACCATGAGCATATGAGTAATTTTCTGCATCAATTATGAATCGATTTTCATGGTTATACTCGTATTTTTAAATAAGGAAAACTCGTATTTTAATAACCAAAACTCTTTCCTGAAGGGAACCTTTTATAGAGGCTAGATCAGTCCTCATTAAATTCGGAATGAAGAATTATGGTCCTAAGTATAAACTTTTTTATGTCGATTTTCATCGTTGTACTAGTAATTTTCTGAATGCTCCTTATCAAATTTTCTGAAGAGGACCTTATATGAGAGGTACGGTCAATTACACTGTGATACAAAAGTGAAGACAAATAAAATGCAGGGGTTTTCATATACCAATTATATTTCTTTATAGTCCATAGAGTACGAATATATTTTTAGTTTTCTCCTATCACTTCGTTAACTAACATTTTAAGAGTAAAAGATGCTAAAAGAGCCATTTTTGAAGTTTTAATATTGAAAAATCATAAGTTTGGTAGTTTTCAACCGATTTTTCAATCTGATATTTTGTTATAAGGATACAAGCATGAAAAAATATGAAGGTAGTGTCATTCCTCTCTCTCTCAAAAAAACTTTTTGAAGTTTGCTGGTATTTTTTGAAATTCGTATTTTGTAAATAAATAGAACATCGTTGCCACGTATGAAAAAGGGAAAAATATTTTTTAAGAAATTTGTGTTGTGATTGTGGAATTTATGTTGCTACTTTCAAAAATAATTTAGGTCCAGAGGGAACTGTTGTTGAGCTGTCCCGAATAAAAAAGGTATTGTTTTAGTTTGTTATTTAAATTGTATACAATGTAGGTTATCATTTGAAAGTGTTTTGAAGCAATGTATAATTATGTCCTTAGGTTTAAGTTAAGAAGGGTTATGTGCCATAAAAAGGACAACATCCACTCTGAAACCATAAGGTGATTCC